CCCGGGGGCCGGGCTCTCCCCCCCCCCCCCCCACTATTCTTGTATCAAACAAATATTCCATAACTCGTGTTTGCGCTAGTGAGCGAACCGCTCAGGACACTGACACGGGAGAACCCGGCGTTGTTGTGACGTGGCCTCGTAGAATTGTGGTCGCCGTTTCCCTTCAGTCAATACTGCCTTAGAGTGGATCGCTATGATCAATGTTAGTATTGGTTCGTTTCACCGGAATTCGAACGATGGAAATCGATTAAGTTTAAATGTTTAAAAGGTGGGGAATCGGCTACACGGTGAAGAAAACGTCAGTTTGTTCAGAATATTTGGGCTGGCTGTTAATTGAAATGTGGTGGCCGTTTTTGGCTTTTTAAAAAAAAAAAATTATATTTTTTTTATACGCGCTGTGTTTAAATAAAAGGAGTTTAGCGTCTAAATATGATGTGGCGGGTGAGTGAGTGAAAAGTTTGAATGGCTTTGACGTACGGCGGTGCCGTGGCAAGAACAAAAACCGATCCGATGATCTGTGAACACAAGGGGATATTTAATTGGAAAATAATGAGGGACAACATAAAAAAAACAAACATGTTTTTCAAAATGGGGATATAACCTAAAAGAGGTAAATGGGGGGTGGGGGTGGTATCGGTTTGACTCCTCCCCCTCCCCCCGTCATCACGAAGTTATTTTTGGAAATTGTCATTAATGAATTTAGTTACCGTAAAAAAAGGTGGGGTGGGGGGGGGGGCACCCTTAAACTCATTTTAAAAACAACAACATTGAAGGGTTAAAATTTTAAAGGGGGTCGCATTTGCCACATGTACAATAAAAGAGTCTAACGGCATTGACTTGTTCTTCTAAGCGCCACCAAACAGTTACCCTAAACAGCTCACCCAAAAAAAAGAAAAAAATCAGTTCCACAAACAGTTCCCACAATCAGTTCCCACAAGTATTTACCACAAACAGCTCCCACAAACAACTCTCACAAACAGTTACCACAATTAATTAGTTTCCACAATCAATTCCCACGAACAGTTCCTTCAATCAACTCCCTCAAAAATTTTCAACAAACAGCTACAACAACAAAACAAAAAAAAAAAAAAATTCCCACAAACAGATTTATCAAACTGCTACCACAAACAGTTTCTAGAAACAGTTCACAAAAAAACAGCTCTCACCAACAGCTACGAAAAAAAAAAAACGCTGCAACAAACAGCTCCCACAAAAGTTCATACAAACACTTACCACAAACAGCTCCCAAACAATTAGCTCCCATAGACCCGTGCCCCCCACCCCCCACCCCCCACCCCCTCCACAGAAGCTGCTGAAGGACACGAGGCGCGTGCGTCCACTGACGGTTGCGCCACGCCACGCATCAGTCGCGCCACGCCACGCATCAGTCGCGCCACACCACGCATCAGTCGCGCCACACCACGCATCAGTCGCCTGGACGCAGGAACCCATCTACGGCACCTCCTCTTTAAAAGTCGGTGCCATTGTCTTAACTGTTCACTCCCTGGTCGTGGACTTGATGACAGAGTGACTCACGTGGCAGCACTCTTTCTCATTGTTAGTACACGTGGTGTAGCGAGTTTTTTTTTTGTTGTACTCCTGTCAACAGAAACACTTGACACTTTTTAATCAATTCATTGAAGCTGAACGTTGACACTGGGCCAGTATTTTTGAACTTCTGCTAAGGAATCCTATAACAAATAACTCGAGTATTTTCATTTCGAAATAGTTCGTGTTTTTTTTGAAAGACGACGCGCCTGACAGATCCTAGAGCCAATTGAGCCATATGGGTTGATGGGCGCCACTGGGGAAGTGGGGCGCGGGGAGTGGAGATCTATTGAAATGGAGGTGGGGTGGGATGGGGATGAAGAGCCGTGCGCACTGGAAAGAAAGTAAGATTTGTGACGCCTGGGGGCGCTCCTCGATGCGTGCAGAAAAGAACATTTAAAAAAAAATGAACTCTTTAAAATATGTTAAGTGGATCAAAAATTGCGCCCCAAAATAAAGGACCGCCTTTGGCGGACGGCCATCTCCGCCCCTCTTCTAACACCGGTGATCCGTTTACATAACACAGTTCAAATTGCGCCCTTTAGTAATGCCGAGCTGGTTGGACGGAGACCGAACGTCTCTAGGCCGAAGTTCAGCCCCACCGAGGCGACTCGGCGGTGTCACATGGGGTTTGCCTCTTCGTGGCGTGCGTGACTAGTAGGGAGATCTCCTCCCCCCGAAGCCAAAAACCCCGTCCACTTGCATGACTTCCAACGCAACGGGAGGAACGCAATAAGATGATAACTTGTTGCCGTTAATGGATATGAGGTCTGGGTGGTGGTCAAAACCCTTGCCGGTGATTTTACCTACGCGGCCCTGAGGAAGCCGCTCCTAGGCGACCGTTTCGTCCACCGCTTACGTCCCGACCGGACAACTCCCTGGGCTGCGTTAACGCCAACACCTTTCCCCCGGAGAGGAAGCAAAGCCGTTCAGACCCCAGGAGAGTGGACCGCAAACGCTTGAAACGCAGCGTTTTCGGGCGACCGGACGTCCCCCAGGTCAAGGGGGAGGTTCCCGACGTGCTTCCGCACGGTCTGGCGACGGGGAGACCCGGCGTCGGCCCGTGTGGGGGGTGTGCGGGGGGGTATTAAGAGCTTACGCTTGACGACCCACCGACGCCATCTCCTATGTGACGTTATTAGTAATGCTGAGCGTTTGATTGCCGTCACGACCTAACCTTATTGTAACAGCAGATAACAGTGTCGCTTGCTCATATCATTTATTCATAAAAGATACATATTTTACCCACAAAAAAAAATAGTAATCCAGTCTTGACAAACTGTAAAATATTAAAATAGTGAGAGGCTGTTAGAAAACGTCATCAGTTCGTGGGTACAACGTCACTTCAAACCCACCAATCATCATGTAGCTGCTGTTGAACGGGAAGACAGCGGATCTCTTCGCTTCCACGCTCGCATTTTGCCTCGAAGCTCCGTCGCATGACGCCATCGTGACTCCAACCGTGACGTTGCCGGGATTCGTGACGTAGACTTGGTACTGGAAAGCGGCGCTGACGGTGACATTAACGTTGGGAAAGGGAATCACAAACAGTCTGCCATAGCTGGTCGGGCTCTCTGGAAATGTAACGAGAGAACGCAGAGAGTGAACAGTGCAAGGACATTGGCAATACAAGCAGATGAAACAATCTGTGCATGTTCCAAAATTCTAGAATTTATTATCGTGCAAAAAAAAATTAAAAATTACTAAAATATTTTACATGTTTTTAAGTTAAGCTGCCTGATTTAGGCAGTTTATTGGCTTTTTAACCCCATTCCGTTTACCGTCTGTCTGTTTCGAGCCCAGGACTAACCACCACTTTGAACGTGAACCTATCAGAGATCTTACCAACTCCAGATCCCATGATATATATATGCACGATGGTTGCCAGTTGAAATTTTTGATTTAAGAGGAATGTAATGCTATAGTGAGAGAAATTCCCTGGAGATTTCGGCTCTCGAAAAGTTGCCGAGCAGTATGTTAGTCTGTTCACACTGCTTACACCCGGGACTGGATTGACACATTATGTCATGAGCCATAGGCCTAAGATCATAATCCCGCGCCCATACCCTCAACACATATCCAGTTTAATATTTGATAGTTTATTTTTTTTTTCTAAAAACATAATAACTTAATAAAATCTGTATAATCTTTCAACACCAGTATATATATATATATATATATATATATATATATATATATATATATATATATATATATATATGTTTTTTCTGGATTGACACATTATGTCATGAGCCATAGGCCTAAGATCATAATCCCGCGCCCATACCCTCAACACATATCCAGTTTAATATTTGATAGTTTATTTTTTTTTTTCTAAAAACATAATAACTTAATAAAATCTGTATAATCTTTCAACACCAGTATATATATATATATATATATATATATATATATATATATATATATATATATATATATATATGCCGGATTCTGCCTCCGAGCCATTGGCCTAGATCAGTGGTCGGAAAATCGTGGCCCACGAGCCGCATGCGGCTCTTTAACGACCTCAATCGTGCAGCTCTGCCAGTCGGCAACAAATCGGTTTTGACTCCGAAAGAACATGGTTCTTGACAGGTTCTTGAAAAGACATTTGACTCTAAATATTTTTAACAAATTTGTCCTGCTGCTGATTTTTTGTTTCTTTTGACTGATGAGCTTGCCGACCAATGGCCTATATTGACGCTATAGAAATCCGTTTTTCTTTCTTCTAAGATCAGAAAACGTCATCTCGCATTACGTAATGTTACTATTTTTATACAATGTTTTCGTAAAACATAGCTTTTAACAATGTATATATAGCAGTAAATATTTTTTTTTGGTGGAGTTGGGGCGGGGGGTTGGGGCAGGGGGGGGGGTGTGGGGTGTGGGTGGTAAAGTCTTTCGTAACTTAGAAGTTGTAAACACGTTTTCCGTCTAGGGTTAAGGCTCACACATTGACGTCCAAGTACCGAACAGCTGTTGAGAGATAGGCCAAACGGAATATTAGGATTTTTTCCCCGTTAATTCCTTAATGAGATTGGCCCGACTGTACGCCCGGATGTTCTATTAATAGATTGCCGCCATTAAATAACGAACCCTATGAGGCGAAAACGCATTAAAATTGAATTGAACTCAATGGTTTTTTTTTTATTTATTCGATCAGTTGAGACGGACTGCTTTAGAAATTTCCCAACTTTTAAAAAGAGTTCAAAGCTTTTTTGAATAGATCGAATAATGCAGTTAATTATGCAGATTTTGTTTAGGAACTCCACCCACCTCCCCCCTTTTTTCCCCTCCATACACTTTTTATGCTCGCAATTTAACTTTCATTACTCTAAGGTGGTCAATATGCCGCTTAAGCATATTAATAGTTATTGTGCCAGCCTTATAGACCGTGGATTGGCACCTATCGCACATGCAGGGGCGCCATTCGTGGCACGGCAGAGCTATTCTCAATGGCATTCGAAAAAACAATTTAAGAAAAAAAAAAACAAATAAAAAAATAATAATAATTTTTACATAAAATAATTAATTACAAATAACAATAAACATGCGTTTTATACAGTAGAATTAATGATCTTTCTTCTGCGCAACACTACCCAAACCTTAATGACTCTAGTTTCAGACGATGTTTAACAAAACAATTAAATGAACAAGATTCGAGGAAACTTAAATAACCTGTACGGAGTTCGATGTCTCTTGAAACTCGGCGGGTGCTTCGGTTTAACGACTTACCCAGTGAGTACATCGCCCTGAACAGAACTAATCTCATAACACATCAGATCGATAAGCTACTTAGTTTAAAATATTATTTAAAAAAAAACAAAAAAAACCCGTTTTGAAAGGAACAAGAAACAAAAAACAACACACACACACACTCATATACTCACTCACTCTCTCTCTCTCGCTCACTCACACACACTCACACACAGACACACACACACCCATACTCATGCATTTTGGTCACCGAAGTTAACATCTTTTACAAAATCGTGATCGGCTCCTGAAAGCTGCGTTATCTTTGCGACGAATCAATTACGATTGGTGAGCGGGGGGTGGGGGTGGGGGTGTGGGGGGGTTGGCCTTCATGAACTTAATCCCCCCCCCTCCCCCCAAACCTGACCCTACTTGTCCTTTTTATGGCAGTCTCACCCGTTGATGGAAAGCGTGTTAATGGTAATAGAAAGTCGGGGCAGGACTGAAATGGTTCATTACATATTAAGATGTTTCGAAATACAATTTAAAAAAGAAAAAGAAGCAAGAAAAAAAACACAACAGATATTGTGAACTTAGTGCTGTGCAGATAGTGCTGCTCACACATATTGATAAATCAATTTGCGAACCCAACAACCTAACCCTCATTCTTTATTTTTGTTCCCCTTGGTGTAAGAAAAATGGGTTGAGTTTTTTTGTTGTTTTTTTTAAAAGGGGGATGCAATTGCATGTTCCGGAAATGCAACGCCTTAAACAAAGTGTGTTTTGCATTAGCGTTAGTTCCAGACAAGAGTATGACGCAAATGATGTTATTTTAAAAGTCGGAGTGACTCTTCGACAAAATTGACTAGCACTGGCATTCACACCTTTGCTCTGTACATTGTACGCTCCACCCATGTTTCAAATGGAAGCTCCACCCATGTTTCAAATGGAAGCTCCACCCATGTTTCAAATGAAAGCTCCACCCATGTTTCAAATGAAAGCTCCACCCATGTTTCCAATGGAAGCTACACCCATGTTTCAAATGGAAGCTCCACAATGTTTCAAATTTCAAATGGAAGCTCCAACCATGTTTCAGATGGAAGCTCCACCCATGTTTCAAATGGAAGCTCCACCCGTTTCAAATAAAGGCAAGCTCCACCCATGTTTCAAAAGGGAGCTCCACCCATATGTTTCAAATGGAAGCTCCAACCATGTTTCAGATGGAAGCTCCACCCATGTTTCAAATGGAAGCTCCACCCATGTTTCAAATAAAGGCAAGCTCCTCACATGTTTCAAAAGGGAGCTCCACCCATATGTTTCAAATGGAAGCTCTATCCATTTTTCAAATGGAAGCTCCACCCATGTTTCAAATGTAAGCTCCACCCATGTTTCAAACGGAAGCGCCAACCATGTTTCAAATGGAAGCTCCACCCCTATTTCAAATGGAAGCTCCAGCCATGTTTCAAATGGAAGCTCCACCCATGTTTCAAATGGAGGCAAGCTCCACCCATGTTTCAAAAGGGAGCTCCACCCATATGTTTCAAATGGAAGCTCCATCCATTTTTCAAATGGGAGATCCACCCATATGTTTCAAATGGAAGCTCCACCCATGATTCAAATGGAAGCTCCACCCATGTTTCAGATGGAAGCTCCAACCCTTTTTCAAATAGAAGCTCCAGCCATGTTTCAAATGGAAGCTCCACCCATGTTTCAAATCTCATGTTTACTAAGCATCTCCGGGCTATTGAGCAATGTAAACCTTCCCCAGTCTCTTCTCATTTCAACAGAAAAGAACATAAAGGTACATTGGATGTAACCATTACGGTACTGATTTCATGCAGTAACACACCAGAGAGGGTTAAAATGGAAAGTAAATTTATTCAGCTGTTTGGCACCATATCTCCATATGGTATTAATCAAATAATATCCTACTGATGTTTCTCCGTTTACCTATGTTTCATCTATTTTCTTATTCCTGTGTGTTTATGTATCCCTGGATATTCTGGTCCATTATTATTGTGGACCTTATTTTTCACAGTGTCAATATTTATATTCTCGCGCTTCCTGTGTTCCCACTTCCGGCGACAGCAATGGATATTTCGTGAGTTGTTTACTGTGCTCTGTTCTTTGTGATATTTTCATTTCTACTGTTATCTGAAAAAGGCTTTATGCCGAAACGTCCTAATCTTTGTGTCCTGTTCTCTAATTCAAGCTTCCACATACCTCGTTTGGCTGTTTCATTCATTTCAATTTCTATTTGAAACATGGGAGGAGCTTCCATCTTAAACATGGGTGGAGCTTCCATTTGAAACATGGGAGGAGCTTCCATTTGAAACATGGGTGACGATTCCATTTGAAACATGGGTGGAGCTTCCATCTGAAACATGGGTGGAGCTTCCATCTTAAACATGGGTGGAGCTTCCATTTGAAACATGGGTAGAGCTTCCATCTGAAACATGGGTGGAGCTTTCATCTGAAACATGGGTGGAGCTTCCATCTGAAACATGGATGGAGCTTTCATCTGAAACATGGGTGGAGCTTCCATTTGCAACATGGGTGGAGCTTCCATCTTAAACATGGGTGGAGCTTCCATTTTAAACATGAGTGGAGCTTCCATTTGAAACATGGGTGGAGCTTCCATTTGAAACATGGGTGGAGCTTCCATCTGAAACATGGATGGAGCTTTCATCTGAAACATGGGTGGAGCTTCAATTTGAAACATGGATGGAACTTTCATCTGAAACATGGGTGGAGCTTCCATCTGAAACATGGGTGGAGCTCCTATTTGAAACATGGGGGGGGGGAGCCTCCATCTGAAACATGTGTGTGTGTGTGTGTGTGTGTGTGTGTGTGTGTGCAATATCTGTCTGTGCATATCTGATAACACTTAAATTTTTTTTCTATTTACATTTCTTTGTTTTTGTTTTTTAAATGACTGCTGAAGGAGGCATTTAGTCGAAACGTCCTTTTAAGTTCTCTGTTTTGTTTTTTCCACGCCTTATCAACATCTTGTTTCACTATTTATTTACTTGAAACGGCTTGAAACGCAGTCCCCTCATCTATAATTGGTTGGACCACTTTTGTACCGCTGCGAAACGACAACAACATGAGAAACAAGGGGCAACAATCCACTACTCACCAGGTGGCGCCTGACACATGCCACTCGCCGACGATAGCGTGACGACAAATGAAAGGACGATGGTCGATACGAGTTCACGCGGAGACGACGTCATAGTGTAGGTTAAGCCATTTCCGGTGAGAGCTGTTGTCGTCGTCCGAGATCAGCGTCACGTGGTCTCCATTCATTCACCCCCCGGGGCCTGTTGTTTGGATCGTCTGCCATGAGAGGGAGATGGTGGATATAATGAAATCATGTATCATGCATTTGTTTTCGAGCCAAGACTTTTAGATTCTGAAAATTTTTTCACTTTGGGGGAGGGGGGGGGGATACAATATCTGCCAGAAAATAAAATAATGGATTATTTGAAAGTTAACCGCCATATTCGTCAATTAGCCTCAACAAACCCCCATCCATCCATCCATCCATTCATGCATCCACACGTCCGCCCATTCGTCATTCCATCCATCCGTCAATCCGTCCGTATGTCCGTCAATCCGTCCATATGTCCGTCAATCCATCCACCCCCCACCCGAACACCCACCCACACATCCGTCGGTCCATCCACCCACCCGTCCATCCACCCACCCGTCCATCCACCCATCCGTCCATCCACCCACCCGTCCATCCACCCATCCGTCAATCCACCCATCCGTCAATCCACCCATCCGTCAATCCACCCATCCGTCCATCGACCCACCCGTCCATCCACCCACCGTCCATCCACCCATCCGTCCATCCACCCATCCGTCCATCCACCCATCCGTCAATCCACCCATCCGTCAATCCACCCATCCGTCAATCCACCCATCCGTCACTCCACCCATCCGTCGATCCACCCAGCCATCCTTCCGTCCATCCACACACCCACTTCATCCGTCCATCCACCCACCCGTCCATCCGCCCATCCGTCCATCCACCCATCCGTCACTCCACCCATCCGTCCATCCACCCATCCGTCCATCGACCCACCCGTCCACCCACCCCCCGTCCATCCACCCATCCGTCCATCCACCCATCCGTCCATCCACCCATCCGTCAATCCACCCATCCGTCAATCCACCCATCCGTCAATCCACCCATCCGTCAATCCACCCATCCGTCGATCCACCCAGTCATCCTTCCGTCCATCCACACACCCACTCGACCGTCCAGGCATTCACCCATCGGTCCGTTCGTCTATTCATCCACTCATCCACACATCCATCCATCTACACATCCGTTCATCCATTCATCTTTCTATTCATCCACACACACCCATCCATACATACATGCATCCACTCATCCGTTAACCCACACACCCATTCCCCCCTCCCATCCATCCACACATCCATACATACAAACATACATAATCCACTCCTCCATTCCCCCAACCTTCCACCCATCCATCCATCCATCCTCTCATCCATCTATCCATAATATAATAGCTCAGACAAGGATAGAATTGCAGCGTACATTTACAACGCTATTGTGCCACACTTGAGGAGCTCCTTTACAAGTCCCTCTGTCACGACCTGCTCTATTGCATATGATGTCACGTGCTAGAGATTTCTTTTGGGAAGAAAGTGAACAACCTCTAAAAACAACGTTTTTCCTTTAAATCCTTGATATGCATTTAAAAAACGAAGTGGCTATTCGGACCCGGGTCCGAGAAGTTAGAGGTTCAGTTTAAAATTTAAAAAAAAAATAATATTTTTCGGTTGTAATACAAAATTTGGTATCAAATGATTGATAATTTTAATGGACTATATGTTTGTAAACTTAATTCTTCAGTTTAACTAAAATAAACTACCACAAGTGACATCCGAATAAGATACGAGTCTAAAGGGATTGAGTTATATTAATAAAATTGTCCGTTTGCGTTCCCATACCATTCATCCTCTTGTGATAAAACTTTGGTGAATTGATATGCGCCCGCCCGAACAGGTTTCTCAATAAGTACAACCATTTTAAAACATTCCATTTAGGGATTTGCGGTCCTTACTTCGTTTCTTCTTATATGAGCTGTACAAATATAATTTCAAAAAGACCTAATGAATTGGTCTATGGGATTTTAATACTATACGAATAGCGACATCACAATTTGTGTGTGATATCATAAGTAGGTTTATGAATTAGTCTGACCAGTTTACAGTTTTCCGTTTGGGGTCGGGGGAGGGGGGGGGCCCTACATTTTTTTAATTATTACATGAGCAATAAAAATATAATTTTGAACAGACCTAATGCATGAGTGGATGGACTTTAATCAAACACAAACGGTGATATTTCCGTTTGTGTGTGACATAATTTAGTAGGTTTCTGAATGTGTACAACCATCTAGCAATATTCACTTTTGGACTGGGTGCACTAAATTAGTTCTTTTCTGATATTATGAGCTATTTACATATAATTTCCGTATGCGTTCCTATACCATTCATCTGATTGGGATAAAACTTGGGTGAGTTGTTGTGTGCACGCCGCAAAAGATTTCTGAATAAGTACAACCATTTTACAATATTCAGTTTGGAAGTAGCTGCTTCTCAACAGAGTTTACATGCCGTTGTGTAAACAACATTACGGCTGATGCTAGAGAACCCCATTATTTCTTTAAAAAAAATAACTCCCCAGGGAAGACAATTTACTTGCAGTCATCCCTTTTCCCCCATTTGTGTAGCATGCATAGCTCGTTTTCTTAAAATATTTAATTTCTTGAACTGTAATACCCGGTCTCAAAATACCCGGACTCGGCACCCGGAAAATCCTTGCACTCGACTCAATAAAAAAATTCACTGCCGTAGAAACTTGTCGAAATATTTTTCTTTTTTAAATCAATATTTAAGTATCGAAGTGGCTTAAATCGAATGGGATTTAGTGTAAAGGGACCCAGGGACGCATAGCCGCTATTTGGACCCGGGTCCCTTTAGACCAAATCCCATTCGGATGTCATTTGTGGTAGTTTATTTTAGTTAAACTGAAGAAGTAAGTTTACAAAAATAAAGTCCATTCAATTATCTTTCATTTGATACCTCATTTCGTCTTACAAACCCAACAATAATATTTTAAATAGTTTTTTTAATCCCAACCTCTCACGTCTGGTACCCGGGTGCGAAAAGTCGCAGCCATAATTTCTTGTTGTTTTCAAGCCCCATTTCTCTTTTAAAGTCTTTCATCTGCCAGACATTTGAAGACAAAACTATGAAAAGAAAGAACTGTATTGTATTTAGATTTTTTATCTATTTGCAAATAAGATAATGTTTAAATAATTTTTTTTTGTTTTTGGTTCTGATATAGGGGTTAAAAAAAAAGGGGGGGGGGTCAGCACGTTTCTCGTGGAACAAGTAAAACAACAATTATTATTTTTTTCAAAAAAAACAACAAAACAAAACAACAAAACAAAACAACAAAACAAAACAACAAAACAAAACAACAAAACAAAACAACAAAACAAAACAACAAAACAAAACAACAAAACAAAACAACAAAACAAAACAACAAAACAAAACAACAAAACAAAACAACAAAACAAAACAACAAAACAAAACAACAAAACAAAACAACAAAACAAAACAACAAAACAAAACAACAAAACAAAACAACAAAACAAAACAACAAAACAAAACAACAAAACAAAACAACACATACATTTCTGTTTTTTTAAAAAAAGAAATCGGTAAACAAAAGAACAAATCGCATCTAATTTTTACCTGATAAGGGTATCGCTTCGACGATACGAGTATCGCATCGCCATGGCCAGAGTCTTTCAAAGTGTACAAGAACTCCAAAACACGGGTTTACTTAGGTCAGTAATTAACAAAAAAAAAGAAAGAGAAAAAAAAAGCTTTTACCACTTTATTATTTATTTTAGTTTAAAAAAAAAACAAACACAAATAAAACAACAAGAAAAGGAAAAAAACAAACAAACAACTATTACAATGCAGTTTCACATTTAGATCTATATTGTTCACTGCAGGTATCATAATTTTCGATTTGAAGAAACAGCTTCAACAACACAAACAAACAACTATTACAATGCAGTTTCACATTTAGATCTATATTGTTCACTGCAGGTATCATAATTTTCGATTTGAAGAAACAGCTTCAACAACACAAACAAACAACTATTACAATGCAGTTTCACATTTAGATCTATATTGTTCACTGCAGGTATCATAATTTTCGATTTGAAGAAACAGCTTCAACAACACAAACAAACAACTATTACAATGCAGTTTCACATTTAGATCTATATTTTTCTCTGCAGGTATCATAATTTTCGATTTGAAGAAACAGCTTCAACAACACAAACAAACAACTATTACAATGCAGTTTCACATTTAGATCTATATTGTTCACTGCAGGTATCATAATTTTCGATTTGAAGAAACAGCTTCAACAACACAAACAAACAACTATTACAATGCAGTTTCACATTTAGATCTATATTGTTCACTGCAGGTATCATAATTTTCGATTTGAAGAAACAGCTTCAACAACACAAACAAACAACGTACCGATATCTTGAGGAAGGTCTCTCGCAATGTGATCTTAAAGAAATGACTGCGCTGTAGTCACATAGAAACAGATTCTGGACCTTACACTGCTACTCCCATGGTCTCGTATGATGTCATCTCGATCTTATACTGCTATTCCCATGGTCTCAAATGATGCCATCTTGATCTTAAACTGCTACTCCATGCGTACGACGAGCAGGCACAGTTACCGGAGAGATGTCTTTAAAGCACGCGAGACGGGCATTAATTAATCCAATGGAACTCACCGGGCCAGGGGCGCGCGCGTCGCTCGTGCGATCACCTGGTCAGTGTGCCACGACGCGCGGTGCAGAAGGGGTAAAGAACACCCCACCCCCCCTGCCTCTGAGTTTGATTTAATGGATGGTGAGTTTTAGTTTTCGATTACTTTTTTTTTGTCTGCCCAATTTGACCTTTTGACATTTGTTTGATTCGAGACGTTCGGTCTAATCAATGTCAATGTAAAAAGTCATAGTCCATGTACCTTAATACAATGTCTCTCTATCTCTGTCTCTCTCTATTTTTGCATCTCTCTCTGCCTGTCTCTCTCTGCCTGTCTCTCTCTGCCTCTCTCTCTGTCTCTCTCTGCCTGTCTCTCTCTCTCTCT